GCGAAGGTTGCCCCACCCTCTCCCTCGGGGAGACGTAATGATCGGGTTCTGGGGACTAGACTTTACCTGACAGGGCCGTATGAAAATGACTGGACCTTGTCTGAAATTTAGCGCGAATTCCAGCTGCAAACAGCTCACGGAAACTGGACCGTCAAATGCAAGAAAGGACCGTCAAAGAGCGGCGGCGAACCTGAATTCTGACGGACTCGAGATCTACGTTTGCGAAAGGCGCCGACGAACATTCCCTTCGCGGGCGTCCGAATGTTTCCGCTTGTGTGGTCCTCTGGCTCTCCACTACCTACCCACCCTGCCCTCATCCACTGTCTGCTCACTCTGCCGTTCCCCAATCTTCCTTACCCGTTCTCCTCCCTCCATCCACCTTCTTATACCTCCGACATCTCCGTTTGCTCACACAACGTGGAGGCCCGGAAATCCGTACCACTCTTCCCTGGGACCCTTTGGTCATCGATTTGATTTCGTACGACCCCCTTGGCCAAAAATACAAACTACCTTCCGTTATATGTTACTGTTGTCCGCGACCCGTGGAGGTTGGGGTGCCTCCCCGTGCTCCCATCCCCATCCTCATATCCTCCTCGTCCTCCCTCCCTCCAGCCTCCTCTATCCTCTTGACCCATCCCCCTCCTGCCCAAAATCTGTCCACTCCCTTCGTCCATCCTCTCCTAAGGAGGGCACAGATGCGTGTGCTTGCCGCGGGTGCCGCCACAGCCACCCATGCGAGCCCCATAGGCCATGATGTCGCGATGCCGAACGAGGCTTCGCGGGGGCCGGACTGCAAAGCGTACAGTGGAACCCATGCCAAGAAACACCCTGTCTGCCTCCAGGGTGCCATTGGTTTCTTAGGTTTCGATGGCTTTGCGATGGAAAGCGTGACTCTCCCACACCAACAACCCATGGACATCCTGGGGTCTCGGGGTTGGGTGCCTTTTGGAAGGTCGCTTGTGGTCGAGCTCCTATACTGCATCAGCACTTCTGGGGGCGCCGCCAGGAGTGCTGATACAGCATAGGCGATGCTTCATGGGATGCTGCACGCCGCCCTCCCGCCGGGCTCCACACGCGTTCTTCTCCTCACTGCACGGGGGGGCACCCCAATCATCACGGGTGGCGGACAACAGCAATACATATATATATATATATATACATATATATGTATAACGGAAGGTGGTTGGTATGTTTGCCCAAGGGGGTCGTACGAAATCAAATCGATGACCAAAGGGTCCCAGGGAAGAATGGTCCCTTGAAAAGACGGGGTCCCGGGGGGCAGCAAGTCAGAGCCGCAGCCCCCGTTCTGAGAAGAAGCTGCCCTCCAGCCTTCGAGCTATAAGGAACGCAGCAAGGCAGGCGCACAGCACGAAGGGACGAATCTCAAGGCAATCCCGCCTGAGGAGGAGCCGCCCCTCCATACGTGATTCTCCTCCTCCTCCTCCTCCTCCTCCTCCTCCTCTCCTCCTCCTCCTCCTGTTGCACCATATGATGCTTCGAGCGTGACTGCTGGAAAAAGAGAGTCTCACGCGGGAGCCCGTTCTGAGAAAGGCACCGCCCTCCATCCCTGCGACTGCTGGGATGTTCTGAAACGAGCGTGCAGGATGCCAAGGCGACAGCCTCTTTTTGAGAACGACTCTCCCTGCATTCGCGTAACTGCTGCAAGTTCTTGAGGCGAGTTCGCTCGATGCCAAAGCGAAAACGCCATTTTGAAACAGATTCCATGGATCTGTCGGACTTTTTAAGACGAGTGTCCGCGGCGCCCAAGTTCAAATCCCTGTTCTAAGAAGAACCCGCCCTCCATCCTTATACTTAACTGTTGGAAGCGTCATGCTTCAATCCCATCAGATGCGAGGAAGTCTGAGGCGAACGACACGTCCAGTGGTGCGCCCGCCCACCCGAACAACATGTCTGGTGGTGCGGCCAGCGGGAATTCCCTAAACGGAGCACGGAATAGGGATAGACGAGGAGGAGGAGGAGGAGGAGGAGGAGGGGGACGAGTCTAGAGAAGAGGAAGAGGAGGAAGAGGAGGAGGAGGAGGAGGAGGAACATCGCCAGCTAGAGGGGAAGGGCGGACCAGCAACAGAAACTGAAAGCGGAGCACAAGGGAAGCCCGATCCGATCCACGAGCAGGACGGACGGTGCAGGACTCATTCCGATTCGCCATGGGGGTTCCGAGCCCACACCTCAGTCGTGTTGTTTTTTCGTGCACAGCGTGGACCTCCAGAGGTCTGGACCCTTTCCCCTGAGGGCTGGCAAGGGCCGGTGGAGGCCGAACGTTGCGAAAATCCGAATCGCTTCCTGTTGCGACTCCCGGAGGCTGGGAACTCCGACCCCACGAGAGAAGGACGGAGCGTGGAGGAGTAAAGGGGTGAGAAGACGGGATGCACAAGCAGGGACGGGAGGCGCTTTCGCAGTGAGTTCGCGCAGGCCGCCCAAAGTCCACGGGGCTGCTTGAAAGGCGGCCACTGGCACGCCAACAATCGATGGAGCTGTGCGTGAGGGCGCCGAACAGGCGTGCAACGACTTCAGGCTGGGGGCCGGACCTCCGACTACTCGAGCGTTTCAAGCCGCTGGCCTCTGGAGCTCTGGGCGCCCTCCCCAAGGACTGGGTGTTCTGACGACCCCAGAGCCCAGAGCCGTCCTCCAGAAACCCAGACCGAAGGAAAAACTGCCGCCACGGAACAACGACGTCTCCCTGAGAGAGCTTTGCCTCACCGTGCTGGGTAACGCTTCATGGGGGGGGGCGATGAGTGGGGGAGGAGAAAGGTGCCATTTTCGGGCCCTGAAGGCCCCCTTGTGGGCCCTGAAGGGTTCTTTGGGGGCCATAAAGGGCCCCTTTTCTGCAGCCGCCGCTGCTCCCCCATTCATCGCCTCACCCCCACTTATCGCGACCCAACCGTGGCAGGAGTTCGCACGGCCAGCTGAGCTATTGTGGCCACGGGGGGGTCGTTGACGACGTGGGTCCTGGTTTCTCACACCGCGTGAGACGTTCAACGCACCGCGTGAACCCCCCTCTTAACTGGGCGTGGAGAGAAACCAACTCTATACCTGCACCAGCGCACACGGCGACACCGACAGCGAGCCCTGCTCAGAACGGGCGGGAACTGCTGTCGGCCTTCGTGCCCGTCCTTTCCGCACCCATGCCGATCATACCGATGCCAGCTTCGCCGTCGTCGTCGTCGTCGTCGTGGTCGTGGTCGTGGTCGTGGTCGTGGTCGTCGTCGTCGCGCTGAGCGTCCAACCTGGAAAGACCTCCGCTCTCGGATGCCCCCAGCGCCATCTCTCAAACGGATGCCTCGCCGCGGGCTCGCTCCTGCAGGCCCTCGGGGCCCAAGACGGGCCGTCCGAGGGCGTGCAGGCCCGAGCGCCCGCAGCGGCGTTCCCGGCGCGCCGCGCAGCTCCGGGGGGACCGCGGGGGGGGGGCGAGTTCAAGCGCGTGAGCCACAGTGCCTCGGGGGGGGGGACCGTAGGACACTTCGTCTGTGCGATGCTAACCAGATGTTTGCTCTGTGTTTAAACAATGAATGCTTAATGCGAAAGCTCTCTCCCAATGAATTTTTTCTGAACACTTCAAACATCAAATTCAAGTTGAATTCCCAAATCAATTTGTAATCAACTTGCAAACTTATTTTGATAACACGGGATTTTGAGAGGCAGCGCCTTGGGGCCGCGGAACCTGGCCAGGAAGACAACAAAAACAGGAAACGCATGAGCAAACTGTTTTTCAGGCGGAGAAATAAAAAAAAACTGGGAAGACCTGTGACTGTCGGTACTTTTATGAGCCGAGTCCAAGCGCGTGAGCCACAGTGCCTCGGGGGGGGGCCGTAGGACACTTCCTTCGTGCGGTTACAACCAAGCGTCTTTTCTTTATTAAAACAATGAAATTGAATGTGTAAGCCCTCCCAGTGACAATCTATGTGAACAGCCCAACAATCACATTGAATTTGTATTTCAGAATCAACGTGTGATCAATTTACAAACTGATTTGTGATTGTCCCGGATTTCCAGAGGCAGCGCCTTGGGGCCTCGGAACCTTACCAGGAAAACAAAAACAAGACAAACTGAACAATCAGATGTGTCCATCAAGAAAATTATAAAACAAAAGCTGTGAAGACATGTGACTGTCTGTACTTATATGGCGCAGACGCCCCGCACATATAATCCTCTTGTAGCAACCTTTACTTGAGGATTCCGCTTGTGTCCTTTTGTGGCGGCCTGCCAAGAAGATTTCTAATGTGCGGGATCTGCAGTGGCCTCCACACATTGGAACCTCTGATCGCAGACTGTAGAAAGGAATTGTTTGTGTGGCGACCTCACAAAATGGTCTTCATTTTGGGGGGATCTGCAGTGGCGGCACCTTGAGCCCAGGAAAGCGAAAGAGGAACACAGGAAAAACAGGAAACACAAGAAAACAACCCATGCTTTCACATGGTAACACAGGAAGCAACTAGGAAGACCTGTGAAAGTCTGTATTTTCATGGTGCAGCCGCTCCACACATAAATTCCTGTTGACGTAGCCTTCACAAAAGGATTCCTTGAGTGGACACGTTGCGAAAGGACTGCAATTGTGGAGGGTCTGCAGTGGCCTCCGCAATTTGGATCCTTTCATGGCAGCCTGTAAAAAGGGATTCCTTGTGTGGCGGCCTTACAAGGAGGGTCTTCGTTCTGGGGGATCAGCAGTGGCGGCACCTTAGCCCAGGAAAGTTGAAGAGGGAAACTGGAGACAACAACAAAACACATACAACCATTAAACATACGAACAACTTGTGTATCCAGGAAGAAAATACAAAACAATTATGAAGGCCTGTGGCTGTAGGTATTATTTTCGTGGTGCAGAACACTCACGTGACTGTATTAATTCTATTACGGTGCAGCAAGCTCACAGGTCTTCTTAGCTCTTTTCAGATTTTTCCATGTAAATGCAAAGGTTGTTCCACGTTGTTTTCTTGTGCTGTCTGTTTCTTTGTTTATTGTTGTTACCTCCTGTTTGCCTCTCTAGCTTTCCTGGGTTCAAGGTGCCGCCACTGCTGACCCCCCACACTTACAATCCTTTTGAAAGGTCACCACGGACGTAATCCTTTTGTAAAGGCTGCTATACCATGCTTTTATGTGTGGAGCGTCTGCGCCATGAAAATATCAACAGTCACGCATCGTCCTAGTTGATTCTTATTTTTCCCATGTGAGCAAATATCCTGGCGAAAGACCCAACCATATGCAATTATGCGTAACGCGTTGTGGGTACCGCTTTCGGTGATGCTCCCTATGGGGCCACGAGACGCGTGAGGGACGTGCCGTAATGGGTGGGGGACGACGCATGCGGGCGGTGCCACTGGGGCCTTCGGTGGAGCTCCCTAAGGGGCCGCGAAGCGCTGTACTGGGTGGTGGCTGACGCATGCGGGCGGTGCTCCTTGCTGGAGCTCCCGATGAGGCCACGGAACATTGCATTGGTCGGGGGAAACGCATGCAGACGGTGCCACTGAGACCGTCGGACGAGCCCCCTATGGGGTCACGATGCGCTGTGTTGGGTGGTGGCCGGCGCATGCGGGCGGTGCCACTGGGGGATCCGGTGGAGCTCCCTGTGGAGCCACGAAGGGCTGTACAGGGAGGGGGGGACCAATGCGGGCGGCGCCACTGGGGCCTACAGTGATGCTCCCTATGGGCCCACGAATCGCTGCACTGGGTGGGGAGTCGCATGCGGGCGGTGCCAGTGGACCTCCCTACGGGGCCGCGAAATGCTGTACCGGGTGGGGGACGACGCATGCGGGCGGTGCCACTGGGGCCTTCGGTGGAGCTCCCTAAGGGGCCACGAAGCGCTGTACTGGGTGGTGGCTGACGCATGCGGGCGGTGCCACTGGGACCTTCGGTGGAGCTGCCTATGGGGCCACGAAGCGCTGTACTGGGTCGTGGCTGACGCATGCGGGCGGTGCCACTGGGGCCTTCGGTGGAGCTCCCGATGGGGTCACGAGGCGCTGTATTGGGTGGTGGCTGACGCATGCGGGCGGTCCCACTGATGCCTTTCGGTGGAGTTGCCTATGGGGCCACGAAGTGCTGTACTGGGTGGTGGCTGACGCGTGCGGCGGTCCCACTGGGACCTTCGGTGAAGTTGCCTATGAAGCGCTGTGCTGGGCGGTGGCTGGCGCATGCGGGCGGTCCCACTGGGACCTGCGGTGGAGATCCCTATGGGGCCACGAAGCGCTGTACTGGGTGTTGGCTGACGCATGCGGGCGGTGCCACTGGGGTCGTCGGTGGAGCCACCTATGGGGCCACTAAGCCCTGTACTGGGTGGTGGCTGACGCGTGCGGGCAGTGCCACTGGGACCTGCAGTGGAGTTCCCTGCGGGGCCACGAAACGCTGTACTGGGTCGTTGCTGACGCATGCGGGCGGTGCCACTGGGGCCTACGGCGGAGCTCCCGATGGGGTAACGAGGCGCTGTGCTGGGTCGTGGACGACGCATGCGGGCGGTGCCACTGCTGCCTTTTGGTGGAGCTCCCTACGGGGCCACGAAACGCTGTACTGGGTGGTGGCTGACGCATGCGGGCGGTGCCACTGTGACCTTCCGTGGAGTTGCCTATGGGGCCACGAAGCGCTGTACTGGGTGGTGGCTGACGCATGCGGGCGGTCCCGCTGGGAACCGCTGTGGAACCCCCCAAGGGGCCACGAAGCACTGTACTGGGTGTTGGCTGACGCGTGCGGGCGGTGCCACTGGGACCGTCGGTGGAGCTCCCTACGGGGCCACGAAACGCTGTACTGGGTGGTGGCTGACGCATGCGGACGGTCTCACGCTAGAACTGATACTTAATGCGTAAGCCCTCCCAGCGAAAGTCGATCTGGTCAGCCCAAACATCAAATTCAAAGTGTAAATCAAAATCAACGTGAAATCAACTTGCAAACGGATTTTGAGTAAAAAAGATTTCTAGAGGCAGCGCCTTGGGACCGCGGAGTTACCAGGAAAACAAAGAAAAACAACAACAACATCAAACAAACACGGTCTTCATACGGAGGAGAAAAAAGCTGGGAATACTTATAACTATCGGTACTTTTATGGGCCGAGTCCAAGCGCGTGAGCCACAGTGCCTCGGATGGGAGGGACCGTAGGACCCTTCGTTTGTGCAAATACAGCCAGGTGTTGTTTCCTTAACTGAAACATTGTTTTTTTCATGGGTAAGCCATCCCAGTGACAATCTATATGAACAGCCCAAAAACCAAATTCAATTTGCATTTCAGAAGCAACGTGTAATCAATTTGCATGCTGAGTGTGCTTGTCCGGGATTTCCAGAGGCAGCGCCGTGGGGCCGCGGAACCTTACCAGGAACACAAACAGCAAAAACAAGAGAAACTGCAAACATATGTTTCCATAGCCGAAAATCTGAAGATACCTGTGACTGCCAGTATCGGAGGTGAGCGGGTGAGATCGAATTGGAACGGAGAGCCCCTCTACCGGGAAATCGGTTTCGGTTTCGTGTTCGTGCGTGCCGTGCGTGCGGGCGAGGCGAAGCT